AAGAAGAAAGAAAGAAAGAGCATATGAGATCACATGTATATATAGTTGATCTAAACATGAGGGTTTAAAGGAATTTTGCAAAATGCATTGTCTAAACTTGTCTTCAATTAGATTCAAATCTCTATTTAATTCTTTCAATAATTATATATATTATAGGAAAAACACACACATTTTTATTATTGTCTTCAAATCTCTATAATTTCATTCAATAACGCGTTTCTTTTTTTTTTTTCCTTTTATCATTATTATTATTAACACTAAGAGAAGATATATATATGGAGCCAGTGAGCCAGCCAGCTACTGATCAATTGAAATGATTAATATTGTTTGACATTTGGAAGCATTTTTTTTTCTTACAATTAATTAAAGAAAAGAAAGAAAAAAAGAATGCCAGCAAAATCGATCGATCGATCGATCGGGAATGAATCATCATGTCATGTGCCATTAAATGTGGGGATTTGAATTGGATTTTATTATAAGTAAGGATATGATCATGAATTGAATTGAATTTGTGTATGTGTGTGCTCCATTTTTATGCGCTATTCACTAATTAATGAGTTGATCGTTTAGTTGGAACGCATGCTGTGCTGTGCTGTGTTAATGCAAAGTCAACTCGGTGCCATTATTAATTATTGTTAATTAATTTAAAGTTGCATGCACGCACGCACAAAGCTAGGCTTTCACATCAAGACCTTTTACAAAGCTTGCTTTCTTACTATGATTGTTATATACATCATAGTATAAAATATACTCCGTATATATATTGAATTATAGAGACACTAATTACTAATTAGTAGATCGTTAATTGTTTCATGGATGTGCATAATTACTTTATTGTCTGCTTTATACCATACACATGTGTATAATGAATGAAGAAAATTAGCAAGGATGATGAAGTCATCACGAAGAAATAATCCATCAACTTAGTTAATTTGTTTTTTGAGAAAATTACGCCCCTTACCTTGGTTTACTAAACAATATTAATAATACAATGTATTCATATTTTTATCACAATTACGAGTTAAGTTTTATTTAAGAAAAATTGCAAATAAGGAGGGTGGTTATTATCTCATTGCATGATAATCGGGAAGAGAGATATTCTCTTTCCTTGCACACACAAAACTAAATCAA